TTTTTTTTTTTTTAGGAGACAGAGAATCTTAAGCAGGCTCCACAGCCAGTGCAGAGACTGATGCAGGGCTTGATCTCACAACTGTGTGCCAGAATCAAGAGATGGACACTTAACCTATTGAACCACCAGGCGCCCCAGCATGTGTATTTTAATAAAACTCTATAGGTAAATCTGATGTGCATCTCCAGTTGTAAAACACTGGCCTAAAAGATGCCAGATTCAAATTAAAGAATATTGTTATCAAATAAACATTTTAAATGACAATTGAGTTGTGACTGATTATTATACTGTTGCCTAACATCAGGCAAATCACCCGCAGGACTCTGATTAATGGAAATAAGTCATGGACAGCAAGGGCATGCAGCAAACCTCTCAGAACTGCCCATAGGGCATACAGTTGCTGAAATATTTAAACATTTGACCTATCCCAATTTAACCTAGGAAAGGCTAAGCGTCTCCTCTGATTTGACAACTCTTCCCATGAAACTCCAACAGTAACATATCAAATAATCCTAATTGTTTCTGGCACCTCTCTTTGTCATAAGGTGGCAGAATAAGTCTTTGTGATTTTCCAGGGACCTTCTGGGAAATCTCAAAGATAGTTTTAGATACAAAAGATATTCTGAAAGTTATTTTTCTTCATTTTACACTTAGGACTCAATCTTAGAAAAAAGAAATCAACAGTTGTCAGATTTGAACACTTAAGATAGGATCATGGTGCCTTAGAAACCGTATCTGGCTACTCATTTGTTTTACAGGCCAGAGTGTAATCTATCTTCATGAATGTTCCATGTGAGCTCAAGAAGAATGTGTATTCTGCTGTTGTCGGATTAAGTATTCTATAAACTTCAATTAGATCCAGTTGATTGATGGTGTTGTTCAGTTCGACTATGTCCTTACTGACTTTGTGCCTGCTGGGTCTGTTGATTACTGACAGAGGGGCTGGACTCCCCAACTGTAATTGTGGATTCGCCTGTTTCTCCTTGCAGGTCTATCAGCTTTTGGTGTTGTGTTGTTAGGCGCATACATGTTAAGGATTGTTATGTCTTCTTGGAAAACTGATCTCTTTAGCATTATGTAATGCCCTACATTTTCCCTGCTAATTTTCCCTGTTCTGAAATCTGCTTTGTCTGGAATTAGTACAGTTACTCTAGCTTTCTTTTGGTTCGCATTAGCATGGTATATTTTTCTCCATCCTTTAACTTGTAATCTGTATTTGTCTTTATATTTTTTTTTTTAATTTTTTTTTCAACGTTTATTTATTTTTGGGACAGAGAGAGACAGAGCATGAACGGGGGAGGGGCAGAGAGAGAGGGAGACACAGAATCGGAAACAGGCTCCAGGCTCTGAGCCAT